GTAAGGTTATAGGAATCAAAGCGAGAATAAACAGTTGTGCTCTAATCGTGAGCACTCCGGTCTGTCAATTTGACGTGATTTTAAAATACAGCCGATTAGAATGTATTTGCACGCGTACGCACGATAAACTTAGATATGAGATTATTAACGTAAAATGTAAAATATTTAAGTCTTTGAAGTTTGCGTGATTTTCCACGAACAGATTAGCACGAAGCCTTAATTGCAGTTGGCTCAGAGCCAGGTTTTATAAGGGAGGCGTTTACGTTTGTCCCGGGTTAAACGCTGGAGTGTGCTTAGCCTAGTGAAGAGTAACTTATGTCGCCACTTCCCTAGGGCTTGGCTCGTTACCACGTTTATGATATTATCGTATTAAGAGCAGAGCGTTATCTTGTGCAACACAAGTCCGCTACTATAAGGCCTTATCGCTAACGGAATGTGGGTCAACTACTTACCTGTTCCGCGGAGATAAGTTCACAGTGTACGTGATACGGTAATACATTGACTTCGACAATACATAATTGAGCATTGCTATATTGTAGATTGCACAATAAAATTGTTACAATTGGATTTGATCTCGTTTGTACCTAACGCATCTGTTATTTCATAATAACAAAGGAATACTAGGTTGTGATTTATTGAAAAATATTTTCTTTTGTAAAGGAATAGTTAAAAATCGATAGTAATTAGTAGGTCAACAAAAGCAAGAGTGTGGTGAAATCGAAGGCGGATTTCCGGCCTGACCTTGGCAGCGCGCCGGACAGCACGGGCACCGCTGACCCGTTCACCTCCGCTCACACAAATTGAAAGGACAAATTTCATACAAATCGTTCATTTAATGCACTTTCAATGTTAATATGTTAAAATAATTATTGGTTAGTTTAATTGTGATTCGTAATCTTCATATTAGTTAGAGCATTTTAATAATTACCATAATTACTGATATGCATTTTGAACTTGAAACATTGGGATTTACTGATTGTGGTACAAAAATGATTTCTCCAATAGAAAGAGAAAACAGTTGTTAGCCGCTAATGCAGCTGTTGGCGTCAGAATAATATTTAATGCGAGGAAAGTTGTCCGTTTATGCGGCAGCGACCGGTTCATATCATAGAAAGTGAGGAAAAACTCTGACTGAGCCACGTGTCTGTTGCCCACACACCTGCAGCACCATTGATCATACAGTACTAACTGTAATTTATCAACTTAGATATATTTTGGTTTGCACATTATCAGAAGTGCGTAAAATATTAGTATGATATTTTTATGTAGATCAAGCCGAGACGAACTCTGTTATCAGACTGTGTGTGACAGGCTCTACCTATTTTTATACATAGTTCAGTCAACTAACATATTAAAAACTACAAACTTTGTTTTCTTTCCCGCGGACTGCAGCCCCAATATATGGGAGTTGCACCCGCTCGGCTTAGCCGAGACAGCCGCAAGCCGGGGTCAACGTCCGAGCCCGCGGTATCGATTGCACACGGGCGTTGTCGCCGCACATCCTTGTCGTTTGTAAATTTGTAAATATAAACATTCATCTTTAATCATGTTTGTTACATATTTTATTCTAAACTGTTAGCATATGGACACTTTCTTTACTTTCCACTTAATTTAAATTAGGAAAATATCGCTTCTCGACTTCGAAGCAAATGTATTTGCTTAAAGAGAAACATATTATACCTTTATATTATAATAATTTATTGTTACTGAATTGGAAGATAACTGTTCATAGTAAACTATCGTAATTTATTACAAGGGCAATCACGTGACAACGCGTAGTGCAACCAGAATGTCGACGCTGTGTGTCGCATTTGTCGCAACACCTCGCACAGATGACGTTTATATGATGATAATGGTCGATTGTATTCATATGTGTCCCTGTACATACATTTAAAGGTCTCGCACATATAATAATTAACGCAAGTGCGGTGTTAAAAATCTGGTATGTAATATTTACTTTTTGGTTCTTGGAAAAATAGATTGTCATTTCAATCAGTAGTCTCGAGCACTATAACACTAAGTCCCCGAAAACTATAAATGTGTCTAACAAAGCAACTAGAAAATATTTTCTTCGAAAATACGTGAAAGGGAGAATTATTCTAATGAAATAAATATAAGATGTCATATCGTAATCCTTTGAGGAAGGTTAAATAAATCGCATGTTGATAATGTCGATAACAATGAAAATTGCGCTTTACATACGCGTACAGCAAACCTTGATTCGATTCGCACGCGATAATTTCATGAATAAACAATAAAAACCCGCGCAACGAATTGACAATAAGTAGAACGAATGAAGAGCTGCGAGCCGAGTTCCATATTGAAGCTGGCGAACGGGTTTAAATGACGATGACGTCATTGTCTACCAATTATGCCCGTTCGTGCTGTCCATAATTACCTGACACAGTTCACAAAGACGTTACATCAGCACTTTAGTGAAATATTAGTATTTACAAAGCAAAAAGCTTTCCGTAAATACTCATGTTTTCTAATTTAATGCTTAAAGAATCGAATTAAAGTTTTTTTTAAATTTTTATTTACATAAACCTACTATTTAAACGAAAACTATCCTTGTTACAATTAAGTACGTTGCGTTCACAGGATTCTTTCAAATTGTATAAATATTATCTTTATAATACCGTAAATATTATTATACGGCAGTGGATGGTATGAAAATCCTGCTCGAAGGATCATATCGCCTCGACGGTTGAGTGATGTTTACGTCGTTAATAGCATTACTCATCAGTAATCCCGTTTTAGGGAGGCTGTGCCGTCGCATTAATGACCCCCGACCACTTGAGACGACTCGACTAGACGAGGGGGGCTGCGAACACCGCGCCTCTATCTACAGATAGTACTTAATTTGTATGGACATATGAATATTCATACGTCGATGTTTTCAAATGCTATCAGCTGCCATTTGCAGTGTAATGTTAAATAGAGCCCTACACAGTGGTGTTAGCAGTCAATTTTGTTTAACAACTACTTACGTGGTCCCATTACCTTTTGTATTTATCATGCACGTTGTGTACTTAAGTATTTGTTTGTGTAAGATTACGTGCGCAATGTAGTCGTGAGCTATGTGCCGCTATGTGCCGGCCGGTGTACGTCGTACGTACTTTTACTTTCGTAGCCCTGGTTCTATGTCTGTACTTCACTATTGTCATATTATATGCAAATTGTTGTACATGAATATGAATAAATTTTACGCCTTGTTTACTTTTGTATAACATCGTTTATGGTCATGTCAGGCATATTAAAGTGATGTCATTGCTTTTATTATCTGTTCTTGATCCGAATTTAAAACGTTAAAACTGATGCAATAATTTCAAGGGTTGTTTATTTGATGTTAATATATGTTTTGTGCGTGTTGCAGCTGGGCCGCGCGCACGAGCAGATTATCCAGCCTCTCGAGCGCTTCCGCAAAGACCACATTGGTGCCGTCAAGGTGAATATCATTCGTTTACGATTATTTAAACTATATGCATGCCGATTAAAAGGTATATAGAGTATAAAAGGAAGTTCGTAAACATTCTTAATGAAGCAATGATTACCGTTTATGAATTCACAGTTTAAGACAAAGATTTCTCTTAAATCTGTGGCATGGTGGCAAGGACATGCCGGCGTGGCAGATGTGGCATCAGCTGCAATTGTCTTGATTGCTTTGAATTAGTGTCACGCTGCACGCGGCGTGTCCCGCAGCAATCGGTTCAGTTAACGCAGATTGATTACTCATTAGTTTATTGACGCCTTTCATTGAGCCAGTTTGCATTAATCACATTCCATCGTCCGTTCTTGCGTAAAAAATGTCTACTTGTGTTTGAGTACTTATGTAGTATGTATTAAAAAAGAATGGTAACTATTTGTTATATTTGAACCTTTCAGATTTTTTTTTGATGTGATTGTGATTAAAATAACGTAAATTAGAGTAAACCTTTGTCGATGACACGTTGCAGGAGGGAAAGAAGAAGTTCGACAAGAAGACAGCAAAGTTCTGC